GTCAAGAGCAAAGCCTTTAGAATCAGTTTCATGGAAATCACAGGGAACCCTATGATTTTGAGGGATGCTATGGTTACAGTAATGAAATCCTTCAATCTCAAAAGGAGTTCCTGTTGTTTGCAAAGAAGCTTTACGTTTATATAAGCAGTTCATTTGTTCATGTCTCATTCCAACAAGTGCATGTTTTCATATGTTTGACAAAATGTGTCACTTCAGTTAAACCCTTTAATCTAGGAGACATCTTTGAAGGAGGCACCAATCATTCAAAACGTGGCTCCTGGGGTAGCATGCATGTGTATATATATAGATATGTACACACATTAATTTTTATTAGGACTGTGACTATATAATGTGTATTTGTGTAGTTTATAAATAACTTTACAAATATATATAAATATTTATCAGAGACGTTTCCGTGAGCTGGCTGTTTCATCTGATCAGCCAAGAGTCTGAGCGCATCCTGTGCTATGGTAGAGATCGGCGACGTTGGTCGAACTGTCACGGGAATGGTGCCGATCAAGTGTGCATAAAGCATAAACAACCCCATGGCGTTTAAAGACCTCACAAACAATGTGGCCAATTGCAAAATCGGCCATATTCACGAGCCCTTCTTGCTCCAAACCAAATGCCTCGCCACTCTCTTTGGGCTACTACCAGTAGTAGCTAGTACACTTTGTGATGAGTAGTCAACAATGATTGTCACTCTGTAGTGACTGTAGTGAGCGTAAAATGAATTCAGCAATGATGACAACATTGCAAAACTTGGAATTCCATAAAATGTGCCCGACTTGGAATTCCGTTCGTGTCTTTAGTTCACAAATTCTCAATTGGTGTCCAAATCGCTTGCACGGGTTTGATCGATTGTGCACCCATGACCGCCCTGAAGTACGGACATGCTGAGATTTCATCAGCTGCCCCTGTGGGGTACAGTATAGCCCAAAAAGACTTTGGTTCGGAGATCGCCAAAAAAACTTTGGTTAGGAATGAGCAAAGAAACCAATCAATCAAATCATTACAGTAGTTATTTGCGTTCGAATGCCTTTGGGCACTCCGGTAGTGCAGTGTCTGAAACTTGGGCCCTTGGAGGGTGCTACCCAACTGTCGTTGCTTCGTTGCGTTTCTTCTCATGCAGGTATCCCATGCCTTGATGCCAGCATATGCTGCAATCGCCGTTTCATGTCGAGCACCTCATTGGCAGCTTCTGTGCTCTTTAAACATTTGTTTTTGTTTGGTAAGTTGAAACATATTGCTGCAATGTTAAGTCAAAGCGAACACTCGTGATCAGCGGGTCAAATAAAAGCATCTATTTCAGGAATGGTACTCCTGATCTCCGGCGCACCCCGTGCTGCCCATCTTCTCCATGGTCCTGCTACGGATTCATTTGTTCGGTTTGCACTTCCACATGCTTTCCAAAAGCAAATAGCATGGTCAACTACTGTAGAATCTAGAAACCTCTGCTGCTATGCAATAGCAATTCCAAGTATATACATATATCAATTCAATACACTGTATCCACTATGCAATACAATGCAGCATGTTCATTTGTGAATGCAAAGCTTCTTCTTGATTGCTGTGACTATTCCATTTCATTACCGCAACCCCTCCTCCTCGGATTCCGAGGTGTCCTGCAAAATCAATGACAATCCCCCCCTGTGGTTCCCAGCACTAGTGGGACCGGTCTGTTCACCTGTGTCACTTCTAATATTCAAGTCAAAAGTCACAAAATCCAGGATCAGGTAACCCACTGAAAGTCCACAAGTCAAACAAAATCTGCCTCTGAGTCTGAACGGAAAATGACACCATCGTCAAAGGGTTGATTCGGCAGCTTGATTTCTTGGACCAGATCGCCTCCGCAGTGAAAAGCTACGCACAAAAAATACAAACGTTTTGCCGACGCTACCACAATCTTAGAAGATCTTAGAAGCCAGTTGCGCAACTCTTCTGTTCAGGCAGTCTTCATCCGAATCCATGCAGAAAAACTGCTGCACCGAAGAACAAACCAGAAATAGTAAGAGAGCTGCAAAAGAAAACTATATATTGATACTATTGCACAACTAAAATAAAGTGGCAATAAAAAAAACTCTCAACCAAAACATCTATATAAGTTGATCCCTCGTGTTTAAAGGAAACAAAAAGAACAACTCAAATCAAGGGTTGTGTTCAGTATAAGGGTTTTTATGACCAAAGCACCTCGGTACCGCAAAAATTGTCAATTGTCACGTGAAGTTACCAATTTGTCTTACAACACTGTGATGACCAGCACCATCCTACTTGAGAATCTTGTGAGGTAACTTGAATGAAATTTCATGCGCAGTTCGTTTTCCTGCGATGTTTGTCACGCTCGAAGTGGCCTCGTGCAACTGGCATCGAGAACGCATTCCTGCAAGCCAAAGGTGACCAACAGAACTATGCCACACTCAAGTTGATAATCTAAGTGTACTTGTTGGACCGGTCCAGATACCAAAAGACGACAGTTTGGGTTCTCAAGCATGTTCTGATTTACGTGTGTGGTGTTTGCCTTAGTGAGCCAAGCTGCTTTGAGGCCGATAATGTGGACAGGGAAGTTGAAGCTGCCTAGGGTGGACATTGTCACGAGCCAGAAAACCAAAAACTCGTCTTCGGGTTTGTTGCTTGAATTCTATTGAATTCTTGTGTTCATCCGCCTGAGCCTCGAAGGCCTCTTTGGGTGAACGCTGAGATGCTGCCCTGAAGGCGGCGCCGAGCCAAGCAGAGCCCTATCTGAGCTTCTAGTGATCACAAGGGCTTGAATGGATCACACTTGAAAAGTGTTCCAAAGCTATGCTCAAACATGGTGGTCAGGGCCACCAAAACCAAATACCAAAACCAAATTCATGTTGAGTAGAAATGAAGACTTCAACGTCTCTGCTGATATCACCATGTGTCTCCAAACATCAATCCAAAACAGCAACGGGGAAAAGCGCTCTCCACCACTTTTCTCAGAGTGGTGGCAATGTCTGTGTTTACAGGTCTGTCTGTCTACCACCCTGTTCCAGGACTTCGCCTGGGGTACACTGGGTGGCATTCGCAAAAACGCCATACTGAGCCTGTAAAGCAGACAGACACCGGGCGTCCATCAAGGACCCATGGGTGCCATGATGAAGCTACTGGGGTCGTTCACGCTAGTAAATCAGAGTACGGCCTTGAGGACCCAGTTCATCAGAGTGAAGTCGGAGAGGATGGCCCTCGCATCCAGGTAGTACTCAGGGTCAAAGCCCATTCATTTTGGATGGGTGAGTTCATCCGCCCATTGATTGAGATCACGTTTGACATGGCTGGGGGCGAGCTGCGCCCCTCCTTTGTGAAGGGTCAGGACGAGCTGCATCATGATGACAGCTGTAGGCATCTGTCGGGTTTCGTTGTTAAGCATGCTGAAAACGTTCCCCTGGTTGTCCGTGATGACTGGGATCTTGACCGCCAGTTGGTGACGTTGCCCCATCCTGAGGATACAGGCAACGAGGATGAGTGAGCCAAGGAGTTCAAGCGCTGGAATCATAGCGCTCGCAGCCTTGGACTTGAAGAGCCACGGAAAGGCTGTTTCCGTGAGGTGGAGATGAAACCAGTACACTGTCCGTTTCGATGGAGTGAGTTCAGGAGAGAGCCATCCCCCAATGTAGAACTCTTTCTGTGTGGTGGCACTGGCATCACGGAGACCGCGGAGCGAAGGGTGTTGGTCGAATATAAGCTTCCTGGACAAGTTTGAGCATGTGGGCAAATAATTACTCGAATGAGATGGTTTGGTTTGCCCGAGGATCTGACGGCGCCCTTCCACTGCCACAGAGGCTGGAGAAGGGGTTTGGTCAAGGGGCAGGCGCTGGTGGCCCATTGGAGTCGGCCCATGCCTTTCTCAATGTCCTTCAGGGTGAAGGTCTCGCCCGACGCAAGTTTGTCGAGGAGGTGAAGAACAAGGGTATGCTTATCTTTGGCCATTTGTGCAATGGGGCCTCCCGGATCTATCACGAAGCCCAGCCAAGTGTTGATTGGGCTGAGGAGGGTCTTCTTCCAACTCAAGGGGGTGGCGAGGGAGAGGAGCACCACCAGTAGAGCGGTGGAGTGTTCCACTGCCAGTGAGCTCCATATATAAGCCATGCGAAATCATCAACAAATATGAACCCCCAGTCAATGTCCGGGAAAACTGCATAGATGATCCTGAGGAGTAGCGCCGCCACCCGGCCCCAATACAGTCGGGCGCTAGCCATTCCATAGGTGCCCACCATGTTGACCCACTATTCATCACCAATGTGAGCAATCTGGTACTTCCAATCTTGGGGTTGGATTTTGATCCGTCTATGTGCCTTGGTGACATCAGCTTTGAGGAGAAGGCCAGGACCATCCCAACTCGCCCGCCGGGGTATCAGGGCATGAAGCGCCTGCCCGTTCGGGCTGAGAGACCTTAGAGGCAGCCTTCAGCCAGTGTAGACAATGGACGCAGTCCATCACCGTAGGTGCCGCAGTACACTCCTCCGTGTTCCGGATGTGGGCATACGATAATCAATCTTAGTTATAAGTAAGTTATAACTTTAGTTAGGGAACTACAAGTAAACTTGTATTTCGATAACATAACTTGTATTAGGATAAGTATGTATAACTATAGTTATACTTAAGGAACTTAAACATAAAGTTATAATTTAGTAAGGCTGGAACAAGTTAGATGTAAGTAATTCATAAGTAAACCGGGTGTAGTTAGGTCAAAGTTATAACTTAGTTAGGTCTTAGTTATACATGTCATAGTTACAAAACTGAGTTTCACCAAAAAACATTGCGCAGTTTTTGGATCAAGTGTGCCGGATATATAGGTTTGAGGCATGTCGACCGTTACGGAGTCAATGGCGAAGACACGCGCTTCGATAGTTTCTTGATGGCGGCAGATTGGACACATCTGAGCCGTTGTGGCACGCAGAGGGACATGTGTGCGGCGCCGTCCCAGCTTCTCTATCAGAGGTTGGACTTACGCCCTGCCTAGCGAGCAGACGTATGCCAGCATGGTGTCTTTTGTATCCTGCGTGGATCAATCCAGAAGCTCCAGACCTGACCCCAGCTGGGCAATGCATGTTTTGCTGCAAGAGGTGAAATCATCTTGGAAGGGTGTGCAATCCCGCTTGAAGAAGTGGCGACCAGAACCAGAGCGCTTGCTGGAGACTCTGCCCGCTACTTTTGATGAGCTCCCTGAAGTCATCAAGGGAAATATGGGTTGGAGCGACCGGCAGAGAGCGAAGCCAGACCAGTGTCTGCGTCGACGCTGGCGGCGCACACATGCTTCGCAAGTGCGTCTGCGAAACACCAATGCCAACCACGCGCAGAATCCTCGCCAAATGGCGGCAGTGTCTTCGCAATCGATGATGGGAGCTGTGGGTAACGTGGCCATGCAGCTGCTGCAGTTACAGCAGCTGCAAGCCGCCTCCGTTGCAGCCTTGCCGAACTTGCAAGTATTTACAGAGAACCTGCGAGGGGGAACGGGACACCACTCACAGACTCCTCCGTCGCGCGCGGAGGCGCCTGCCCAGAGCCCACAGTCCAAGAGGCCATTGAAAGCTCTGATGGATAGCCCTTGGAATGAGAGCAAGCAGGAGAGGCAGAAGATGTCTGATAACAAGGCGCCCGCTCCTGCGCAGGAGGAGCGCGCGAAAGAGGATGCATCGACCGACCGGTTGCGTGTGGCGATCCTGCGCATGACATGGGGGAACCCTCCCACGCGACGAAGCAAGCCGCGCGTGATGCAACGACCTTGGAGGCCAAACGAGAGGAGAAGGGGCCTTCAGAACCTCAGACCACCGTTCCTGGAGGTGACTCTGCTGTGGATCCCGCGCGTCGAACGTGTGCTGTGATGCAGCGACCGGCAGCAAGTCCGGCGACAAAGGTCTGCAAACCTGCCAAGAAGCCTGCGTCCGCAGTTCCTGAAGCAAAGAAGCCCAATCTTTCTTTTGATGCAAAGCGATGGGGGAGTTGCCGCGCCGAGTACTCCAGGGAGAAGAGCTACATTCGCTGTTGGGACAGCAGAGATGCCAAATGGCGAATGATCATTGGCTCCACCTCCGCGGACGGAAAACACGTTGAGATCTGTGAGAAGTTGGTTCCCTATGTGAAGCAGGGAAAAGATAGGGATGAACTCCAGCGCTTGCGCGCAAAACTGGAGTGAGCTTTACTTTGACCAGACACGCTGCTTCCGATAGAAAAGAATAGCGTCTCTAAACTTTGAATATATAGATCTAAAAGAAATATGTTTGTGATCCACGCACGTGTGCGTGTTCGATAACTTGATTGGATAGACTCTGGCTGCTTATATGTCAAGGAGTGATCAAATGTAAGACCGTCTTCTAACGCTTGCTTGCGCTCATGAATGTGGACCTTGAGACATATGAGTTGCACCTGGAAGTGGTGGAACATAGGGTTGCGGACGAGATTCGCCACAGTGGAGACGAGCAAGTGAAGCAGACTTGTCTTTTGCACCAAAGGGTTTTGCAGGCTTGTGGTCATCACTGGGCCACCCAACCGCTACTGCTGTTCTTCATCGCTTGTTACAAAGTGATGACCCCGGAACCGAGGGGCGTTCTAGATCAGCCAGGCTTGACGGTGGAGCCACTGCCTTTTACGGCGCTTAGAGATCTATTGCCTGGCTGCCAAATGGACCTGCTTGACATGCTAGACGTTGGCATTCCACTGCTGGAACATTTGATGGAAGAGTCACAACTGCGGATCACTAGAGATGTTTTGCGCGATGTTTGTTTTAGGTTGGTCAGCGTCAAGAACTGTCTGAGGTCTTGACAAATCTTTGTAACCACCGCGCAGATAGAAAAAGAACAAGATGGAGCCCACGAACCCGAATGCAAACACATATGTCAATCCACTGTGTATAGAAAGAGACACAGCCGGTTCGATTATCTTTTTCACACTCCGGTACGCTGTTGGACATCATGCGCTGGGGACTCCACCACCAAGGCAGCATGTGCTGGGGACTTCACCACCAAGCTCCGTCTTCGTCATGAAGGGTCTTCGTTTTGCATTCAAATCAAGCACTGGCGTAAAGGTTCTGGCAGATCCACATCACGAAAGAAACAATGGCATTGTCCCAAAATCTCGAAAATAAGCGCTTGAAAATGATAACCGTCCACATAATACAGAGAAACCCACAACTGCGGCGTCTGATCTTCTTGTAAATACGAGTGCAAGACCGTGCGTTGTTGTGTTTCACCTGCATCAACAAGAAGTATATGAGACACACACCACGGAAGTGAGTAAAACTATCCTATAGGTCATGTCATTAGTCCAACATTGGCATCGGTCTTTTGCAAACACGAGTCAGAAAGGAGAAGAATTACAAATCGAAACGTTTTTGGATGTGTCACCAGGGCCTTTATTAGCAGACGTCTGGGTCCAAGTATCACCAGATGTGGTAGCGCGTCCAGATCAGCAGGGTTTAGATCAGAGGGGGTTTGTATTTTGGTAAGGAAAAACAACATAAGACCTTAGTATAGAACAAATTGAATTACAACTAGTTTGTTTTGTATGGGATATGTATATTCAGACCTTGCTAGTGCATAGTATGTTTTTTTGAGGTTGCATTTCAGTGTGTTCAAAAATGTTCAAAAAAGTTTCAAGCTTCAGCATCTTCAAGCACTCTTTTTCCCTGAGGCAGGGTTAGGCATTCCGTTCCCCAAGCAGTCTCAGTCAGCAACACAGCTCCTGGCACAAAGAAAGTCTATGTAATGGCCGCAAATGGTCACAAGACATTTGATAGACTATAGACTGTTTTCGAATTGTTGATTGTACTAATCTCGAGGCAGCAGCTTGCAAAAAAAGAGACTTCACATGACAAGTGTCAAACATCACACGACAACGTGTTTCAATGGAAACAGTGAGACTTAGACCAATGACTTATGACTCATGACACATGACTTGTCCTCAAGATTGATTCATTCACTGCATTTGTCATTTGTGTCCCAGTGTCATGTGTCCAAACTCATGCAATGTCTTCAAGTCATACTCCGCTTTTTCATGGACTTTCTCCCCACAGTCCACTCAAGAGTCGAGTCACGATGGCCTAAGTGCCATCATCCACCTGCCCCTACAAATCGCAGACGATGTCTGCCACAGCCCTTCCAAATTGGACTGTGTAATGCTCAGACTCAATGAGCTGATCTCTACGGCCTGTGAACTTGGCGCCGTCCCTAGTCACTAGAGATTCAGCAGCTGCTCCCAGCCAAGTTGGACGTGGTCGGCTCAAAGCTACAAACTCCATCCTGCTGTGCCATAGCTGCAACGGTTTTTGAGAGGGGCCCCCAAAACTTCCCAAGTATGTTGTAGTGCAAATGGCCTTTGTCCAGCGCAGCAGGTACTTCCAGGCTGGAGTTTCTGGCAAGCAGGAGTGCAATGGCTGTTCAAGGACCGGACAGCTCAATGAGACCCACGCTAGAAAATACAACAAAGCACTCAGCAGGCCTAGAGAGTTCCCCTCTACAACTCTGGGGTTTGACAAGTTTCCCAGAAAGTCATTTGAGGGAAACCTCATGGTGGTTGCTCTGCAAAGCACTACGTATGAGCTACACTGCGTAGCAAGCCAGCTCAGGCCTTTCTCACGCAAAGAACCCAAAGCCTCAATGTAGAGTCGTAGACCGGATGCTGTCAGCACATCATGGGAGGACTCATACAAATAGTCAAACGAGGCTCCTCTCAGCTGTTTCCTTAACAGCTCCTTGGACAGCGCTGCATTGCCCGCAAAAAACTCCACAAAATCCAGCATGGACTGAGTGTGTGCCTCACGGTTGTACATGGTTCTTTCAATGAGCTTGTGAACAATCTCCTTGAGAGAAACCGCTTGGAACTCCGGATAGGCCATGTGAAGAACAGCAGTCCACTGGGAGATCACTTGCGGCGCATGTCCTGAAATAAAGTCAAGGCAACCACTGGCAATGACCTTCAAGTATGCCAGCGATTCCAAGGCCCTTGTGCACCTGCAAGGAATGACTTCCTGTTAAAAATACATCATTATGCGTCCACAGTTAAATCAAACAAAAGAATGTCAAAACTAACTTTGGAACCCACTAACGTAGTTGTGCCTCCCAAAGTGCGCAAAGGTATGAAAGTCAGCCAGCTGCATTCTGGAACAGCGTGAAAACAAACTCTCAACTTGGTCATCCTCAGTTTCAGCTGTCGATGTCAATCTGCTCGTGCAACTCTGCCCCTGGTGGCCAGGAGCAACGCAGGCAAATTTTGGAATCGGAGCTGGCCCTGCTGGCTCCATAGTCCGTTTCTTTTTTCCACGCTGTTGCTCAGCACCAGAGCACACAGTCACAGACTGCCACAAGACAATCATTGGAGTCATCATCATAGGGGTCATGAGTCAAAAGTGAAGCAAGCGTTAGCGGCTAATGATGAAGCAACCCAACATTCATGTTTTCCCTGCAAGAACATGCAGTAGTAGTATTATTTACAAGTATGATTTGATCCTTCCCTATATAACTATCATCAATCATACTATCATCGCTTGCCTTGTTAGTAAGCACAGCAGGTCAAAGTGATAAGGACCGATGTTTCAACAACTCAAAACAAACAAACTGTTTAAACTGAAGAGCAATGCAGAAGACAGCACTATTTTTTACACCTCAGCGCCGTTGTCTGAAAATTGGTGCGTCGCATGCATCATTGAGTCAGAAGTGAAGTAGTCGATCAGCCGTACTTCTTTGGAGGAGGCATCTTTTCAATCTCAGGTTGCAGGTCGGACAAGACTTCCTCCGGAATCACTCCAGGGGATTGAGGGTTGCTAGCGCCAACCATGTACCCTGCAATCACCATCAAGTTGTGCTTTGTCCATGCATGGTTGTGGACATCTGACAGGGCTTCTTGCCATGTAGGGGCACCACTAGCGAAGGACTTTGAGTAGCTCTTCTGGCTGTAAGGAGCCTTCAGCTTTGAAGAGGACTCATGAAATCTGCTGCCAATCTCGACTTTGAACCGGTGGTCGTTGTACGTCATCCGAAGCATCATTCCGGGCGGGCTGAGTTGGTTGAGAATCTCAGCTGGGCTCCGATGGACCCGAACAACAGGTGCACGAACAGGTGACGATGCTTTGGGTTTGTCCCTTGAGCTTCCCGCGGCTGTTGGGCCACCTTCTTCAACTTGAGACTCTTCAGCTGCTGTTGGATGTAAGTTGTCAGCCTCCTGAAGACGAGGCTCAGACTCAGACACCTGCGGCAAAGACATCCTTTCCTGAGAATGTTCATGAACTTCTGGGGGCGCAGAAGAATCTGCTGGTTGCAAGTCTTCTTGCTCAGACTCATGACTACCAGCAGCAGGACTCCCAGGTACAATCATTGAGGCTTCTGCCACTTCATCAGCAATTGCAAGAACTGGCGGTGCCACCATCTCAGAGTCGTGTGCATCAGGCTCAGCTTCCTGAACTGGCTCATTGCCAGCATCAGCTGCGCCATGACTAGCAGCTTGAGGCCCACCATTGCCACCATCACTGCTATTGCCATCACTGGAATCACTGCCATCACTACAGCTTTCTCCACTGCCATCACTGCCATCATCCAGTGGGTGGTGATGATCATCATCATCCGAGTCCTCCTGGTCATCAGGATCAGTTTCCACTGATGGCTCTCGCTTCCTCTTCTTGCTTGCTTCAGAAGCCGGCTGACGACCACGTCCTCGCCCACCACGACCCCTTCCCCGGGCTCTCCCACGTCCACGCCCACGTCCACGCATCAAAGCCTTCTGAGCTTTTTTAGCTTCTTTAGCCTCCGGGATGAGGGGAAATCAAAAGGTTAATGATGATATGTTTAATGCGATGAACATTGGAACTGTTTGACACTTTCACGAAAATAAATAGATCAAAAACAATTCAAGCAGTTCAGGTGTAAGTAGTTTGGAAACAAATGCCCAGACCTCAATCTCTGCCTTTTTCTCTTTGTTCCATTCATTCCATAGCTGCCTCTTGGCAAAGGAATACCGTTCTGCTGATGAAACCTCCTGCTTGAGGTCTTTGAAATTGACTCGCTCCTCCAAATTCATGTTTTCCAGCAAGCATTCCATGAAGTCAGATTGGTTTTCATTCCTCTTGCAAGCAGAAGACTTGCCCTTGCCCTCAGCCTCCAAAACTTCCTTGACGTAGTCCTCATCATTCCGTCCAAATCTGAAAGC